TGTTACATTCCTGGATATTTTGAGCTTTTAAAAATATGGTTGGCGATTATTTGCCCCCGACACGGTGCCTTTTAATTCCTTTAAAAATCTATTCTTGTTTCTAGGATGTTTTTTTTATATTATTTTAGCTTTGAGCATACTTATTTTTTAAACAATTTGAAATAAATCCCCTAAATACATTAGGGCTCTTGACACCATCCGTCCTCTGTGGAGGCTAGATCTGACGAACAACAGGAGAAAGTTGGCTGGCATTTCATTAACAATGTTAGTTATTATTTCTGAAAAGCCCTAAAGAGGAGAAATATTAAATTTATGTAATGCAATTTTCATTTTTAAGGGGGCTAAATTGCATTAAACACAACTTCATTTCCTCGAAGTGAATGATAACTGAGAGAGCCTGTCTTTTCTGCTTAGCCATGGGGGTGGGGTGGGGGAGCCAACCAAATTGTAAAACAAAGTATTTTGTGTCTTTTAATGGGCTAGGGGAAAGTATTTCAATATATTCAGTGGAAGGGCCAATGTTCCTGCCAAACAGCAAAGTGATCAATAAAAAGCAATTAATCAACTAAATGGTGTTTTAAACTCTGTTCAGGAGAGCTAAAAACCAAACTGATGAGGCTAGTGCCTTGAAGTGTTTGTGTGGGGGCCATATACAGAGGTGCCGGGAAACTCGGGAGTATGATATTATTTCATAATTAGGTTCCACTGGAATATAGATATGGCAACATTTGTCTCCACCGTAAAGCAATTGATTGATATCTTTGAAGTCATTTGGGAGGCGCGATAAATTTCCAATCGCAGTATTTCCGTGTATTTTAAGTGTCCCAGTTATTTTAAGTTTGATTTACCCCTTTTTACACTTTTGAAAAAATAAAGAATATAGTAATCGACTTTTAAATAGCGATGTGTTTTGGACTATGGGGTGTGTGTGTGTTTCATTCTTGTTACACACCACGGAATGCCATTTCAAATGATTGAAGACACTGTGATCTGGAAATCGAACACGTCTCTCTTGGCACAGTTCTGACCAGGAATAAAGTTAGTAACCTCATGTTGGCATCCGCAACAAAACCTCTTTTTTGGCCATTTTACCACTGGATGAAACGAGCTGAAAGTGTGGAGAGAGGGGGACATTCCAGTGGCTAAGAGGTGCCCCTGCAAAACGTGGATTGCTGAGCGATGGCTTGCAGCTTTTCCTGGCATTTCTCTGCTTTTGGATTCGGAGCTCAAACCTGACCCTGATACCATCCTTGCAAGCTGAAATCTAAACTGCTTCTCTCGCTGAATAAGTAAGAGCGCGCCTTCTTCTAAAACCAGTGAGCTCATATATTTCTAAGTATAAACTGAACCCTTTGACATCTCTCTCTCTCTCTTGCCTGCGTCCCCCAAATAATTTTAAAACTCCCCAAGCCTGCAGTTATTTCAGTTTCAGTGGGAGAGGTGCCCGGTTTGTGCGTGAGTGTTTGTCTGGGGTACACGCGCTTCTTAACTCGGCTTTATTTCCATGTAGACACAACAAAAATATATTTTTTGCGTTCCTGCCTGGAAGCTTTGGCTTAGCAAAATGATTTTTTTTAAAGAGAAAGTCCCTGTATTTGCTGTTTCCATCCGAGCCCCTTTGGATCTATGGGGTGACTTTGATTTTTGGATATGTTGTAAATATTTCTCTCCCGCCCCGACACCAGTTCGTCCGCCCTAAGCCCCTTCAGCACCGACGGGTTGGACAGCTCCTCCGAGAGCCTTGTAGTCGTTAGGGGCAGATTTGTCAAGGCAGTACCCGAGGGGGCAGTTCACTTCAACCACAGGGCAGCCTACAAAAAACTTTCTCGGTTCAGCACTTGGGGAGGGAGGAAAATTACCGCCACCCGGGCTCAGACCCCAGCCAGGGAGCCGCCTCTGTCTAAACGCGAAGTGATCTCTCTGGAAAATCTGCCAGTAGCTGCGCATCGATTGGCCTCCATGGGGCCTGTTTTGCTTTGCAGCTAGACACACAAAGTGCAACTGGAGGGGGAAAAAAATCCCCCAGACTCTCAAACCATCACAACAAAACCATTAACCACAGAGGAGAGAGGATTATGAGGGAGGGGGGCGGAAGCGGGGCATTGCCTCTCTGGGTCAGTGGGTGGGGTTTTTTTGGAGGGGGGGTGGTTGGGGCCCTTTTGAGACGCATTGTGCACTAGGTTGAAATGTGTAATGTTGTGTGGGTAGCGTGTGCGTTGCCCTGGGAGGTGAGGAAGTCAGGCGGGACTGAGTTCAGGTTACCAGCTGGAACCCAGGCGATCTAGGGAGTCTGACTCCAGGGCTGTGAGCCTCTACCCTTGACCTCGACCAGCAGGGGCTTTGACAGTAGTACCCCTTAAGCCTCTCCCCTCCCTGTGTGGCCATGAACCTCCCTCCCAGTACAACACCCGGATCTCTCATGTAGCCTCTTCCCTTTCTAACAATCCCCACACACACACACACATACACCAGCTCCCCCATTTTAGCCCTACAGCAGGCGAGCCCAATGGAAGAGGTTAGTGCACAGATCTAGCTCGTCTGTTTCACACACACTCCCCTTCTTTCTCCGTTCACACTGACCCCACAGGAACACGTGCAGTTCCCGGTCCACTCTCTGCAGCTGTTTTGTTTGTTTTTAAACAGGGAGATGAGCCCATCTTTTAATCCAGCGGCTGGAAATCGGTTGGTTGGTTGGGGTTTTTTTTTGTTTGGTTTTTTTTTTTTGGACAGGGACAATCCTGTCTCCTTGGCCCGGTTAAAATGCAGGGCAGATTATCCAATTTCCCAGAGCGCACCTGGTGAGATTTGGGGCGGGGGGGGGGGGAACACACATTTGTGGTGTGTCCACCCCACCCCGCCCACCAAATCCTGACTTCCTCCCCACTCTTCACTAAACAACCAGTCTCCCCAGTCTTTCTCTCTCTTTTTCTACGCTGGCTTCGTAGATTGCTGCATACTGCATTGATTACTTCAGTGATGTCTCTTTGAGGAAAAGAGGGTAAATATTCAGAAATGCTCCATGGAACTTAATACTTGGCGTTTTCCAGGTTGTGAACCACAAAGGCTCCAGCTGGAGAGAAGGATACAGCAGCTGCGGATCCTAATGGAAACCCCCCAGCCCTCCCTTGCAACTGGAGCTTTTAAGATCCTTTGAAGAAACTGCCAACCATGAACTGATTTCTCTGGGTTCCTGTGTCTGTAGCCCCCCGGACTCCCCTTTGCTCGCCTATTATCATTATCGTCATTTTATTAAGATGCCTATTTGAATACACTTACTTAGATCAGACAATAGGATGAATCTCTTCCCATTTCACTGGGTCTGAGATCCATTCACAAAAGGGGGTTAGGATGTTCCCCCAATTAATCTATACACCGGGGGACTCTTGGAGAGTTTTTACTTTGTCCCAGGGCCGCCAATATCTACTTTTGTAATTGTTTCGGTTGAAATCATTGTGAGTATAAGGGGAGGGGATTAGGATACTACATCTGCATTTTGCAGAACATAGATACAGAGGCTTACCAAGATTTAGAAGCTATTAATATTGTGCACAAAGCTAAAAAAATCTCGCGTTATTGGCTCCGTGGGATCATTATTGGTCGGACAGGAATGATTTTAAAAACGGATGAGTCCCGTTTAAACCGCATTTCAGCTCTGTGGCTAATTAAGTGTCCCCTTATACAGTGTGAAAGGTTATGAAACTCTCATAGCTTGGATTGTCACACTTTTTCCGTCTACATATAAGCAAGGCAGAGAGGTGAATATGTGTGTGTGATTTATATATTTAAGATTTGTATATATTATATATAGATTTTTTGGTGAGTTCTGTATAAGAGAAATCACAAAAATATAGGAACATGCATTTGCAATTTCTATACTATTTAGATTTACATGGGGTTTTTATGATCTCCTACATAAGGTAGGTAAATCACAAAAATATAAGAATGTACACAGTTGTGTGGCTTTATATAGATTTATAACCCAAGCTTCCACATAGACTCTCTAAGTGGGTTTGTATAGATTCATCTATATTTAAATACAGACTCTATATAGATTATTTGTGATCTCATACATAAGAGAGAGGCATTACAAAAATACAGGTATTATAGAGAGGAGAGACAGAGATTTCCTGAAATCCACGAGGGACTTCGCTGTTGGTTCGACGTGGAAGGGGCTCAGATACCACGGTGATGGGCAGCAGTGTAAAGCTAGACAGATATGGTGTATTTATTCAGTTGGATAGATAAAGATATAAATATTTTGGGGGAAGTATTAAATATACATTTTAACCCTGAGCCACGAAGTATTGCAACAAACTGCAAAGTCAATATAATCTAGATTTCCGCACCCCCCCCCCCCACGCCCCTTTTCGCTCTGTCGAAGCCGGGCCCGATCGGGTTAAATCAGGTTGGTTGCTGATTGCACATCTGTCAGATTTTAGGCTTGGTGACGTGTGAGAAGCAGGAAAGCGGAGTGTTTGCTAGTGAAATCGATGAGAGTAGCTATGGGCTGGAGTAGGGCAGTATTCTCGGGAGGGAGGAAGGGAGGGAGGAGATCAGTGTGTGTGTGTGTGAGTGTGTAGCAGACACAAAGAGGATGGAACTGTTCTGAGCTACACCTATTAAAACCAGAGGGAGCGAGAGATCTAATCCGTCCCCCCACACCACCAAAACACAGCCGGTAGCTAATTGCTGGAGCCCGCTGCTGCTTTGCAAGCACTTTGCTGGAGATCTCCTGGACTACCCTAAAAGGGCTGAATGATCAGGGAAGAGGAGACCTTTCCTTCCCCTCCACATTCCCGGACACAGGAGCCCCTCTGCTGAAAGCTCCAGGAAGGGGGGATCTGAACCCCTGCTGCTGATTTTCATTTCTTTAGTATTACTCTTCTTGTCGTTGTTGTTTTTATTTTATTTGTTTATATTTTTACATCCCCCCCCCCCCCCCGCATGCCTAGAAAAAGCACCGGCCGCACTAGGTAAGCCAGGTTCTTCATGAACTTTCTCACTTTGATTGGGGTTTAAAGGGAGGGGGTGGGGGGAATTCTCCAGCCTCCCTCCTCTCCCCCCCCTTCCTTCCCCCAAATCCATCCAGCATTGGGTTAGAATGTGTCCAGTTTCTGATCAGTTTGAAAGGGGCTTGTGTGGGGGCTGGGGAGAAATGATGAGCCCTTGTCTTCCTGGGGCTGCAGCCGAGACCAGTGGATGTTAGATTTCCCACACTGGAGACAAGATCTGGTCGCTGAATACAGAGGGGACTTCCCGCTTTGGCTGTCCATCCCCACTGATAAAGGCAGAGAGGTTTCCTCAGACCCCCTTGAAATCTGGCAAGCCCTTCCCCACACTCAAGAACCGAAAGATTAATGAGTCGCAAAGTAGATAAAGAGAGGATGCACTAGCCGGCAGCCATGAATGTCCAGCTGGGTTTGGAGAACACCGGGGACATGTCCAGCCAGGAGCAGGAGCTGATGCATGGCCAAGGCAGAGCTTTACACTCCGCTCTCTCCAGACCGTCTCTGGTGGCCTCGGTGCTGGACGGCAGTGAGTATCACCGAGCCGAGCACCACCTGGCCACCTCTTTGCACCCGGGGCTTGGCTTTGGGGGGGATTCGCCCACCGGGGCCGCCAACAGCTACACCACCTTGACCCCTCTGCAGCCGCTGCACGAGAAATTCCACCACCAGCACCATCACCCCCAGTGCCTGCCGGTGGGCAACGTGATTGGGAGCTTCACCCTGATGAGGGAAGAAAGGGGCCTGGGTTCTGGCGCTAACTTTTACAGCCCTTACCACAAGGATCTTGGCATGGGGCAGAGTCTGTCGTCCCTGCCCAGCCCGAACCTGACCCCCATGCATAGCTACAGCCACCCTGCCGGACACCTGGGCAACGAGAAGATGGTGGCGGCCAATAGCTTCGAAGCCCACCCTGCCATGTTTGGCAGGATCGACCAGCACTTTTCCAGGGAGCTTTCCCCCTCCCAGAACTCCACCATGGGATCCCCCAACAGCATGGGCCAGCACCACTATGTCCATGCCCGGCCGGACGTGACTTCCAGACCCAACCAGCCCATCTCCACCCAAACCACCGTCCTCTCCAGCCAGCTGGAGGAGATCAACACCAAAGAAGTGGCCCAGCGGATCATCGCTGAGCTCAAGAGATACAGCATCCCCCAGGCCATCTTTGCCGAGAGGGTGCTGTGCCGGTCTCAAGGCACCTTGTCAGACCTTCTCAGGAACCCTAAGCCCTGGAGCAAGCTCAAGTCCGGGAGGGAGACTTTCAAAAGGATGTGGCGCTGGCTGCAGGAGCCCGAGTTTCAGAGAATGGCAGCTTTAAGGTTAGAAGGTAAGATATTTTTTATGAGCATGGTCAGGAACTGAGCCTGGAACAATACAGGGATATATGGAGCTGCCTCTTGATTTTGGGGAGAGAGAGAGAAAGAGCAAAGGTCACCAGCTCTGAGACTCTGCTAATCTCTTTGCAAACTGGAAGGCCTGAATGAAGCCGCAATGCACGAATAATTACACCCCGAGCCTTTATTGCTTGGTAATACAGATCAGAGCTATTGATTAGAACTTGCAATGTACACGCCCACATTATGGGGGGTGGGGGTGATTGGGTTGCAAAGGAATCTCCGGATGCCTTCCCTCTCCTGCATTCCCCTGTATTGTTTCGGGGTGGTTTCAACATACACACAAGGGGCTTCATCGTTTTTTCTTCACCTGCCTTCTGCCCTTTATGCTGGTAAAGCCATTTTGTCACCTCACCCTGCTCCTCGTGTTGCCATGGTGTGATTGAATGTCTCAGCCGCACGATCAAGATGGAGACCTTGTTCTCAATGGTTGTGTACCATATCCCGTGGCGTGGAAGCCTGAGCCAAAGCTGATGGGAGTCTCCACTGATTTCAGCGAGCTTTGGATGGGGTCCAAATAGCACTGAAGACAGCGATGTTTCTGCGCTGCTGTTATTATTGTAGGGTCAGTGGGAGGAAGTTGTAGGGGAGAATCTCCACAGATGGAGGATTTACAGTGCTGCCCCCTTGCAACAGATGGGAGGGGACGGCCTTTTTCATTGACCAAAACCCCCAAGATTTTCTAAAGTGCGGGCCGGAATTTCAGCTGGTATAAACCAGCGTGACTCCCATTGGCTTCAGTGGCACAATACTGATTTACGCCAAAGTCCTGGTTAGGCAAGCCAGGCTGGATCAATCCCAAGGCCCATCTATCCTAGTATCCGACTGGGGCCGGCACCAGATGCCTCAGAGGGAGGTGTAAGAAACCCTGCAGTGATGTGACAACCTGGCGTAGGGGCTTCTCCCCCTAATAGTCTAGAGCTTGACTTAAGTCCTGAAGCAGGAGACTCTTAAGCATACGATTATCATTAAATGTGTGCTTAAGTCCCATTAAAATCTAATATCTAACATTAACTAATATCCTTTTGTAGGGAGGGACTTTGCTGAATTGAGGCCAGTTGAGGATTTGACCCTTATCCAAAGCGAGGCTCCTAAATCCCTATTTAGGCTTCTAAATAATTGGCCTAAATTTTTTTTCCCCCAGCTGTTACCGCTGGGAGCTGGTGAGCGTTTAGCGCTTCCAAAAATGAGACTATTTATTTAGTGGCCTCAATATGGATCTAGGAGCCTAACTGTCGTCCTTCGTTTTGAAAAATCTTGGCCCAAATCTTGGTGGCTGGTGATTCTTCAGATCATCACTGCAGTTCAATGAGTTTGCATGGCTGTTCGGAATGATTCTGCTTCTTTTATGTTCCTTTCTCCTTCATGCTTGCGAGGCTCTCCCGTCATCTTCAGAAGGGATGGTGCGGTTGAAAAGCGAAGGTTAAAAGATAAAGCCAATGCGAGGCACTGTCTGTGTTTCAGGCTCTCAGCCTGGTCCCAATCTCTCTGACTTGCCTCCCGGTGAGCCAGTTAGCGTTGGTTGTGTGCGTATGTCTATTAAAAGCCATGTGACAACGGCCTTGGCCCCATCATATGACACAGCAGGGCCCTGCGATAACAGCTTCTCTTTGCTCGTTAGCCGCTAATGATGCTGTTGGGAGGCTTATGGCTCCATTGGGAAAGGGGAAACAAAATGGGGGTGTTTGTGGCTGGTGGGAATGATATTTAGACACCCTAGGACTCTCCCAACCCCCGAGTTTTATTGCCGTCTCTTAGCAGGAGAAGGAGCAGGCCTGGGCAATAGGAAGCAGGGCAGGCTCAGGGACTGAGCCATAGCGTCAAGTCCCCCGGTGGCTGCCGTGAGCTTTAGATCCAGCGTTTAGTTATTTTCAGAGGCATCTCGCTCCAGTTGTGTGCTGTGCTTTCCGTCCTCCGGCTCCTCTCGCGGCGCGAGACGTTGACAGTGTTTAGTTCTGCCGGGGCTCGTGGGAAAGCAGAGGGCTTCTCTTGGGTGCGGTTCCCCAGAGAAATCCTAGGGCTGGAGACGGCTGTGGGGGCTGCACTAGCTGCATGAGGCCTTTCCTCACCTCTGATTTCTAGCATTGACTAAGAAAGCCATTGGCGTGGGGTTCTTGTCACAGTGCCCAGGCCCTGAGGTTAGCACCGTGAAGGCCGAGGACCAGATCCTGTGATGCCGAAAGCATGGCAGAGGGGTGGTTGGTTGTGTTGTCCTGATCCGACTACTGAGCCATGCAAGCTGCTGTCCCCGGAACTGTCGGAGCAGAGCCTCATGGCTGCTTAACATCGGGCAGCAGTGGCTGTCTTCGATTGTGTCCCCTCTGCTGTAGCAGGGTGGGCAGCCGGGAATGAAGCTGTCCAAGAGGCGTGGGGGGCAGAGAAGGGTATAGAAGGCCCCGCTGCACACCAGCCCCCAGCTTAACCCAGCAGTGGTGAATGTTGTGAGTGCGTTCCTGTGGGCTTGTGTTGCGTGATCTGGCCTGCGGACGGTGACCCTGGTCTGCATGCAGGCAGCCACTGTCGCTAGGGCGGAGTTGGTGAGCACCGGGGAGTTAGCTGCAGCCCTGTGTTAGCAACGCCGTTTGGCTGGGCTAAGAGAAGTGTTCGGCTTCCCGCTGCATTGGCTGGAGGGGTAGGCTTGGGGCAGTAAACCTCCAGTTTGCAATTCCTATGCTCCCTGGACTTGCAAGTTTGAACCCCAATAGAGTTGACTCATCTCCACCCTTCTGGGAGAGACACACTGAGCTCTACGGGGCCTGTCGCCCTTTGGATGATCCCCAGAGAAACCCGGGTCTGTTCTGCATGGATGAGAAAACCCGCCCAGAGAAGGAGAGTTGCCCTCACAGATTTTAAGGCCAGAACGGCTCCGTTAGATCACCCAGTCTGACCTCCCGGAGCACAGCTGAGTTCTAGCATCTCTTCCAGGCAAGCAGCCAGTTTTGATCTGAAGATATCAAGAGATGGAGAATGCACCACTTGCCTTGGCCGGCTGGTCCAATGGTTAGTCATCTGCACTGTTAAAAATGGGAGCCTTTTTTTGAGCTTGGATTTGTCTAGCTTCAGCTTCAGGCCATTTGGTTCTCATGCTGCCTTTTTCCACAAGACCAGTGGTTCTCAACTGGGGGTATGCAAACCCCTGCGGGTGTGCAGAGGTCTTCCAAGGGGTACATCAACTCAGCTAGATATTTGCCTAATTTTACAACAGGCTACATAAAAATCACTAGCGAAGTCAGTACAAACTAAAGCTGACAGGGGTTTCAGACCCTGAGCAGGAATGTCTACACTACAATTTTTAGCCCCCCAGCGCAAGCCCAAATCAGTTGACCTGGGCTCTGAGAATCACTGTTGTGGGGTTTGGTCTGCAGTGTAGACTTACCCTTGGTCTCTCCCCATAAGGCATTTTCTCCAGTCCTCAAATAATTTTTGTGTCTCTTCTCTGCCCCTTCTCTAAGTGTTCAGTATCCTTTATAAACTCTGGTCACCAGAACTGGCTGCAATATCCCCATAGCAGGGAAATCCCATCCCTACTCACTACTTCCCTGTGTTTACGTCCAAGTATGACATTAGCCCTTTTTTTTCCACAGCATCACAGTAGGAGCTCATGTCCAAGTGTTTGTCTCCTATGATCCTTAAATCCTTTTCAGTCACTGCCTTCAGAGCCCCGTTCCATAGCTATGGCCTCATCTCTGCGGATTCAGTTGATCCCTCCTCCACTGTTCAGCATACTGCAGGCTAGACGGTTGTTTCCACCCCAGAGGTGGCTGCCTACCGGTGATTTATGTTATTATTTTTGGTTATGCCGTAGCGCCTCGAAGCCCCAGAGAAGGCCCCCACGGTGTCCAGTCCTGGACAAACATGGAACAAAGAGCGGGATCCGGCCCCCAATCCAGTCTTGTTGCCTCCACTGAGTAAGAGCCACCCATGAGATCAGCCCCTGTGCTTTGGGCTCTGAGCTGGCTCAGCGAACGTGGGAGACAGAAAGGACCTGGGGGTCTTCCTGTGCTGCTGACTTTGAAGTTGTGCCCAGCGTGGGGCCTGGTGGGATTGTGCCCTTATGCAACAGCACACACGTCCCTCTGCCTGCGGCCCACCAGCAGCTGTGCTCACGTGGCGCCATTACCGGTGGGAAGTGAGCTGCAGGGAGGCATTCCGGGGGATCAGGATTGGGGTATGGAGGCAATCCCTATTTCAGGAGGAGGCGAGACTCCAGATCTCTGGCTGGGGGAGGCTGCAGATCGTTGGGCCCGGGGAGGGAACTCAACATCAGGTATTTTTGCCAGGCACTTTTTGCCAAGAGAAGCCGGGCTCGCCGGGGTTCATGGCGAAATCTTGACTTGTGAAAGGGGGCCCGCCGTGCCGAGGTACCAGGTTTTGCACAGGGATTGTCCTGCAATGTAAATCGGAAACTTTGCACAGATCCGGTTGCACCACACGCAGTGACACATTTCCAGAAAAACAGCCCTTGTCAGCGGGCGCTACTCCCTGTAATAAAGTGGGGCCGTACTCCTGGGCTCTGTTCCTCCCCCTGGCATGTGGGGCCCCCTGGGGAGGGCACTTTCACCTCTCTGGGCTTCTGCTTCCCCCTCCTCTCCAGATGAAGATGATCACTCACCCGGAAGGGTGGTGAAGGCTGACCAACGTTTGTAAAGCACTTTAAGGCCCTGGGATGAAAATGGAGCATAGGTTTTGTGCCACGCCCCTGAGGCAGGGCGATCTTCACCTGGGAGGAATAGAAAAGTTTTTATGAAATTTTAAAACCAAACAAAAACTTAATGGGATCTCCCCCCTGTGCGCGCGCACATGCTTTTTAATATACATTTTCCCATGCTGTGTCAGGACAGGAGCATGGAGCCTGGGCCTGAAAGCCAGCAAATGAAACTGGCTAGACTTAGGTAAAGCTACTTTTGCTGTCCAAAGCTGAGTGAAGTGGAAA